CACTTCTCCATCCAACTTGAAAGAGAGTTTTGCAGGGTATAGTAGACTGGGCTGGAAATTTTTTTCAGAGAAGACTTGTAGTACTCTGCTCCATGCTCTTCTGGCCTTCATGGTTTGTGAAGAGAAGTCAGCCGTAATTCTGATGGGTTTTGCTTTGAGTGTGATCTGCTTCTTTTCTCTAGTGGCTTTCAGTAGATTATTCTTGTGCTGAATTTCTGGGATCTTGACTATTATATGTCTTGGTGTGTTTTTAATTGGGTTGAGGTTACTTGATGTTCTGTATGCTTCAGTTACCTGAATATCAGATTGTTTCCTTATATTTGGGAAGTTTTCTGGTATTACTTCTGCCCATATTTTTTTAATGTCATTTGTATTGACTCCTTCTTTCTCATGATGCCTATTAGTCTCATATTGTTCATCTTTGCATCATCTTGCAGGTGATGGGTTATTTTTTCCTGCATCCTAGTTGTTTTTAAGAGATCCTTTCTTACCTTTTCACTAGCTGCACCTGCGTCTTCAAGATCTGAAACTCTGTCTTCACATTCACTTAAACGGTTTTGCTAGCTTGTGATTGAGGTTTTAAATTCCTCTATATCTCTTTGACTGTGCTTCATGCGATCTATTTCTTTCCTGTATTGCTCATTCAATGAATCCATCATTTTTCTAATCTCCGCTATTTTTTTTTAAATCAATGTCTTCTTTAGAAGCAGTTATAAATTCTTTTACTGAAGTGTTTTTTCAGATTGGGTTTCCTCCCTGTGTTTCTGTAGTTGATTCTTTACTTCAGATGCTATGAGTTCTGAGAATTCTTTTTTTATTTCAGAAAAGAATTCCGCTCTGAGTTCCTCTATAACTTTCTGCTGTTGCTTATTTACTATTGCCGCTATTAATTCGTACATTTGATCTGAGCTAGTAGAAAAGAATTCTGCTCTGAGTTCCTCTATGACTTTCTGCTGTTGCTTATTTACTATCGACGCTATTAATTCATACATTTGAGCTGAGCTAGTGTCCTCTACACTTGTTCTGGGTGGGCATTGAGTTTCCTCCATATGTTTCTGCATTTGATTCTTTACTGCAGATGTTATTAATTCAGGGATTTCTTTTTTTCCTTTCCAGTCTGAGTTCCTCTATACCTTTCTGCAGCTGTTTCTTTATTTCAGAAGCCATTGATTCATTACTTTCAGCTGTGTGGTTCCCAAGTTGTTCTGTGTTAGTGTCCTCCGCACTTATTATGGGTGGGCTTGGGTTCTGAGATTGCATTTTGCTCCTTCTCATTGTCATTTTGTATAGCACTGTCTTCTGACCTTTGTTGTAGAGCTTTGGTGCAGTTATAACCTTAGCACCTACTGAAGTTCAGGTGCAGGTCTACAAAGTTTGGATTTATCCAGCTGTGCCTGGCTTGGGTCTGGCTGCTGTACTCAGCTCCTTCCTGCTGCTGCCCTTGGGGGTGAACCTGTTGTGCCCCTCTGGCAAGATGTTCTGCTCCTGGACTAGCTGGGTGGTTCTGTCCCCTACACTCTTTGCAGGGATTGCAGCTGAAGTGTTTCACCCCAGGCCTGTATGCCAGGCCTGAGCTGAGTCTGGAGGGGACAAGGTGGAGTAGGGGGGAGAGGAAGCTCTTCCACATACTCACTGGGCCTGGACTAGGACTGGATCTGGGGGGTTCCCATAAAGCGACAGAAATTCCTACTCTGTGGGCAGGGTTTTGGGGGGGTACTACGGAGTGATGGGGGGCATCCCAAGAGGGTGAAAGAAGGTATCACCCACACTGCGCTTGGACTGGGACCAGTAGTTTTCACTAGCACAGGGTAGCCTGAAGCTCTCCCACACTCACCGGGCCTGGGCTAGGACTGGATCTGGGCATTCCCAGAATGTGGCAGAAATTCCTACTGGGCAGGCGGGGTAGAGGAGGTGCTGTGGAGTGGTGGGGGGTGTCCCAAGGGCATAGAAGAGGGTCTCACCCAGGCTGTGCCTGGGCTGGGACCAGTAGGTCCCGCTGGCGCAGGGTAGCCAGAAGCTCTCCCACACACTCACCAGACCTGGGTAGGAGTGGGTCGGGGGGTTCCCGGAACGCGGCAGAAATTCCTACTTGGGGGGTGGGGGTCAGGATAGGGGAGGTGCTGTGGAGTGGTGAGGGGCGTCCCAATGAGGTGGAAGAGGGTCTCACCCACGCTGCGCCTGGGCTGGGACCAGTAGGTTCCGCCAGCGCTGGGTAACCGGAAGCTCTCCCACACTCTCACCAGGCCTGGGCTATGACTGGGTCTCAGAATTTTAACTTTTGAGCAAGAATTCCAACAAATCATGGTAGGCACATAGACTCCTCTCACCAGAGTTTTTGGTCTGTTGAAGTCAGACTACCCTTTGTACTCTGATTGCTATCTAATGTAAATTCTCCAGTTTTGAGACAATAAAGTGTGATGCAGAGTAAGGAATGTACACCTGTCTCCAACTAAATGTGTGGGAAGTGTCCTGTTCTCGTTAGCCATGCAGCTGTGAACCATCTTACAGTGCTCCACTGGCTTTATATTTCCTTGTGTCCCACACATTATGTCATAACTATTTGTTTATTTGTTCATCTCTTCTGCTCAACTTGGAGCTGGATCTCTGCTGTGTTTACCTTTATATTCTCAGTGCCTACCATGGTGCTTGGAATATGGAAGGTGTGCGGCAAATACAGTTTGAATAAACACTTTTTCTGGATAGGATAATTTATATAATTCAAAATACTCATTAAGTATAAGAGTTTGAGGGGGCCGGGGAGATAGCTCAGTAGAATAAGCGCTTGCCTGGCAGGTACAAGTGTTTGAATCCAGAACTTTTTCCTTTGACCTTTCCCCACATTTTATCCTATTTTAAGAGTTTATGGGTTCTGTGCATCGAATCCACAGGGCAATTGTTGGTTCTTGGAAATTGAGAGTATAAGAGACTAACAAAATATGGGAAGAAAAGATATCAGTAAAGCTCACAGCTGAATGAATGCAGTGTTCAAGAGGATGAATAAAGAGCACCATACTCTAATTCTTACTCCAACAAACTTCCTTCTACATCAATAATTTATTCATTGACTTAAGACACACGTGGAAACAGTTAGGTCATACTTTATATCTCTGTAGTATTAAAATATAGAGTCATAATTGACCATACTGTGTTCATCCGTCTGAATGGATACCTGACCAACTTGCTTTCATTCCAGATGACGAAATCTGAATTCCATTAGCTGTACAGTGAGTATATTTTTTCCATTTGAAATTGAAGTTGGAGTTACCTAAATTAAGGATGTCTTTTGCTGACAGATTCCTTATTCTTTTTCAGGATCACGTCTTCATCTTTACCTCGGTGTTTCCATCAGCTTGCATGGACTTTCTATTACTGGTTCTTTGCACGCCCCCAGTACCGTTCCATGTTTCTAAGATGGAAATAAACACTGTTTTATTCCCTTACATTACTGTTGAACATGCAAAGCATAATCCAGTGTTATCCTCAAGCTTTTCTTATTCACAGTTTTAAAAATAAAAAAGAAAACGTATTTATGAGGCTCTGGCTTCTGGAAGTTTTATCGTCAACAGATGAAAATAAGATGTGGTCAGTGTGAAAGTGTTAGAACATAACCAGAGCAGGCAGAACTGGGCACTGGAAGAGTCCACCCTTCCAGACAGTGTGTCAAGCTTATGGGGTTTTGCTTGAAAACATTCTCCAGTCTTGAGGCAGGTGCCCAAGCAAAAAGGTGTCAGAATACCAAGTTCAGTGACAGTAGAACAGTCAGAAAATTAGAGGGAAAATCCAACAAGGAAAATATTACTGTATGTCTGCAAAAATAAGAAAATGTGATACTCTAGGAAAAAAAGGGAAGGCCAACAGAAAAAGAGCCTTTGAGAGTTAGCCCGCAGTGACATTAGCACCTATTGTAAGTGTATTCAGAGACTTAAAGGAAAAAAATATGCACCATAAATGAGCATGTGGGAAATTTCGACCAAGAAACAGAAACTGAGAAAAAGTCCAAATGAAAATTCCAGCTCCCAAAAGAACAATAACTGAATTGGAAAATTAACCAGCGCTCAAAAGAATCAGTGAACTAGAAGAGTTGTCCAGATCTTCTAAGAATAGAAGATAATTAAAGCACACATCTTAACTGAAGACAGGATATAAAAAGCAGGGTGGAACTGAAGTGAAATTTTAACCATTCTTCAATAAAGATTAAAAAAAAAAAAAAAGAGTCCTGGGTTTTGAGTTACCTTAAAATGCTTCCTTGAAGAAGGAGAATCTACATAATTTCAGAGCCGTGTGGTTTTTGTTGACTTTCCTAAGGTCATTTTCTCTAGGTGCCATAGATTTGTTAGCTTTCTGTCCTTTCCTTCTTTTTCTCCCTCACTTCTTCCATGGCTTGTGGCCTTTCCACATTTGTGCTCGACTTACTAGCCAGTTCGGAGTGACATGAGAAAGCTGGGGCTGCTAATGCAGTCCCATAATCCCAGCACCTGGGAGACTGAGGCTAGAGCCAAGTCTTGGCTGCTTAGAAATTTAATGAGACCCTGTCTCAGGAAAAAAAAAAAAAAAATTAAGGGGCTGGAAATGTGGCTCTGGGCAGAAACCCTGGGTTTAATCTCCAGTACTGTAGAAAAAAAAAAAAAAAAGGAAGTCATGGGCCAGGGAGATGGCTCTGTAGAATAAGCACCTGCCTGCCAAGCTCAAGGGCCTGAGTTCAATCTCCAGTTCCAAAAAAAAGGAAGTCATTCTGAGAGTGGACTGAAGCAAAGAAAGCCTTTGGAATAGGCTGTCATTTACAGTTTATTCTAACTTTGTTTTTTGATGTATTTGCCTGCTGCATTGAATTATAACTATAATTGTCTAATTTTTAATAGCTCAAATGGTGAATTATTTTAAAGCACTGGTCTTTCTTAAGAGTCTGTGAATTCAGAATGCCAAGTGATAGTTTCAAAAGTTCGCTTTAATGATTACTCCCTATAAAAACCTTTCTGTTTCTTTTGGTTTCAACTCCACAGGTGTTTCAAAACCAATGGCACGTTCAGCAGCAGCCCCCTTCCGCTGGTTCCACTCGTAGCGCCTTGTCCCCAGGATGGCTTGGAAATGAAGCCCCTCGGTGCCATGCAGATGCCTGTGTGTCTGGCGTCCGTGGTCCCTGATTGTGTCCAGTTAGCCGAGGAGCGCGCCAAGGACAGTGTGGCACCGATACCTGCCCCACATACCTGCTGTCGGGATGACATAAGTGACACCAACTCTGACTGTACGGAAGATACCACAGAGTTTAGCAGAGGTACAGGAGCTGATTTAAACTCTTTGGAGGTTTTTACCTCCGAAGGCAACTGTGTCCAGGAGCATTTTCTATGATGCTGTCACATATTTCTCCAGAGACTGGTAGGGGTGTTAGATCATTCCAGAAAAGATAGGACAGATAAAGGATTCTTTGCCGTTCTGTTACTATTTATATCCTTCATCTCAAGCAGTTAATCCCATTACATTTTGGAAGATGTGTCCCACTAGGCTTGGACTCAGCTTGGGCCTGAGCAGAATACTTGTGGGAAGATTGCATTTTGTGGATATGGGCCCCTTGTTCATTTGAGTTGGTGCTGGAGGTGTAACTTTTCTGTAAGTGGCTATTTGGGGGCTTGTAAGGGTTTTCTTTTTTGGGGGGTGGTTTGTTTTAATCCCAGATGGATTGTAGAACTCAATTTTATTTTAAACCTTTTAAGTCATGCTCAAATTCAAGCCAAGTACAGCCAGGCTCTACTTCCGCTCACTGTTCTTTCACTGTTGCTGACAGTGACACCTCCGAGTGCCGTGTAAAAGCCAGCACTTCTCATTTCATCATGCTCTCACTCCTTTGTGTTTGCAGGAGACAGCTGTGGCCATTTAGAAATGGAGAACAGAAGTTTAAATTGGAATCCTCTTGTTTTGCCACCCGTTTCAGAGGACTGTCCTGGGAAGATGACAGTGTGGTCTCCTCCTGGCATTCCCGTAGACAGCTCATCAGGGATCCTTCAGCAACCCCAGGAAACCTGAGGTTGTGCAAACACCGAGTCACGGTCCCCCTTCCACCAGTAGCTGCGCAGCACAGGCCTGGGAATGCACTGTGTGAAGGACATTAATTCAAATAAGAGAAAATCATTATTTATTTTTTTTGTAGTAGTAACTTCATGTGAATGTATCTTAAAATGTGTGCCCTCTTATATTATTTATGCCTTAAGATTTCCCTATTCCTTCTTTCTCCCTCAGTAGGAAACAACCTTTTTTGTATGGTTCAATTATCTGGAGAACAGAGGGATCATTGCGCATTTTTCAAGACCCTCAGTGACAGTAAGGGCTCCTCGTGCTGTGGATCTGTTCTGTTGGCTGATGCGGCCAGGGGGCGATCACACAAGGCGGCTGAAATCACATCCTCAGATGGGAAATGACCATTCGGTGTTGACAACATTTTAAGATCAACCATAGTTGTGACCTGATGTTTATGGTAGCATATCAGGCTGTTTTATAAGGGTACCTTCCACAAAAGTGCTACTCTGACCTGCAGACTTCTTGTCTGCACTGGGCACAAGCAGTGTCGACGCTTGAATCACAAGCAGTGTTGTTGGGAGGATGGGTAGTCTGGCTAGATTGCCGGTCTGCAGAAGAGATCCAAGTTAATGCCTTCAGGTCTCACTGTTTTAATACATTAATTTATAAAATGGTCCTAAAGGGCTCCTTTTGCCTGATCCTAAAATTAGCAACAAATGAAAAACTGCAGAGTGCTGACCTGAAGAGACATAAAAAGTGTAGGTTCAGGGGCCTGTCTTGGCAGAAACTCTGCGGTCCACTATTCCATAGGAACATGCTCATGGTGCCGGGGGATGGTCGTTACGCCCTCCTGACATGCCACCCCCCTGGAGATGAGTGAGTGCATGTGAGTCAGTTTCCATCACAATAACAAAGAACTTCGTAAAATTAACTTAAGAGAACAGGTTTATTTTGGCTCATGGTGTTAGAGATTCCAGTCCATGCTCATTGGGCCTTACTGGGTCAGACCAGTAGCAAGGCAGCGTGTTATGGTGGGAACGCATGGTGGAGCAGAATGCTTACATCACAGCTGAGGAGCAAGGATAGAAAGAGGAAGGGGCTAGGGTCCTGCTGTCCCCTGCAAGGCTGTGTGACCCAAAGGCCTCCCACTAATTCCTACCACCTGAAGAGGGGGCTGCCTGGGGACCAGGTCATTAGCCCTTGGGGGGCACTCAGGACCCAAACTATAGCAGAGTGTCAAGAAAGACTGAATCTGGAGGAAAAGGGGTTTCAGAGGGAAATTTCCTGATTTTTTTTTCCAAATACAGTAATTGTAAACAATCACCTAACGCATTGTCAGCAGAGCTTTTGCGTCAGAGGCACTGCTGCCTCCGAGTGACAAGGACATTGCAGCTGTCTTCAGAAGACTCCTCTGCTTCATGTTCAAAAAAACAAACATACAACAACAAAAACCTAAACTGTAAATGCGTTCCATAGTGTGAGTCACTGTTCCTTCTTGGATTGTGGGTCCCTTTGGGGAAAGAAGCAGAAAGTATCCTCTTCAGGTAGAATTAAGAAGTTCCAACAAACATACGTAAATTTAGTTTCCCATAAACTGCAGTGGACTAGAGTAGTAGAATAGTATGTTAATCAGCCTTTCTGTAGAATGTGTCAGTACTCCCTTACATGTGTCTGTATTTTTTACAAATAGAAGCATTAGTGAAAATGTGCTCTTAGGCTGGGTCACTCTGTAAGAGTTACTTCCGGGAGAGTGTGGGGAACATAAGGCCGTGGCCAGCTACAGTGTTAGGTTGCTGTAAAGGCAAGCTCTACATTCCGATGTCCAAGCCTGAGTGCACCAGGCTTACTCTGCATGCTACGTAGACTCTGCATGAGGTTTGTGGGGGGGGTGCCTGCCGCCCCTACTTCTGTGAGCAGCAAAGGACAAAGTCCTGGGACACAGAATATAAAACGCGCTCTGCTTCCCGATCCAGTCCCAGCGTTGCTGTCGCACGGAGTTGTAGGACACTAGGGAGTCAGTGTCCTGGGCAGTCAGCTTGATTTGTGAAACAGCTGTGTTTGCATGAGCCTTTAGGTCAGAAACTGCTTGTAAAGATTGAGTTTGAACATGGGACTTGTCCGTGAAGGAGACAAAGTGACTTTTACCTTCAGGGCAATCTCATCGTGGACTGCTTTATTTATATTATTAGTAACGCTGTTTTAAGTGTTATCCCTTTTAACTGTATCTTATTTATAAAAATACCTTTATATATTGAGATATATAAATATAAATATATATAATAGCCTTTATATTTAGAAGTTATCAGTTCTCCCTAGGCATGGAGGCACTGACCCTTTATGCCATACATGGTCACTAGAAACAAGCCTACCTAATAGCTCCTCCCCAGGAAGTGAGAGGTCACTGGACAGCACGGGACAGCACTGTGGTGTTGCGGAACCACTGTGTACCAGGCACTGTGCGTGGCACTTGTACTGTGATCTCATTTTGGCCCCACAAGTCTCCAAAGCTGGTACGCAAAGTCCCAGTTTGCACACGAGCCACAGACCTTGAGTTGGGCCTCAGAGTCCTTATCTGCGTCCTTGCAGTTTTCTGTACTGCTTTCCTGAAGCCTGGAGTGAGGTAGTCTGCTAGAACCATCCGGCAGTGCTGGGCTCTTGTGGTGTTGCTCCTCTGGGACTCCGGCTCTGCAGCTGGCAAAAGAAGCTGCCCTCTGTCCCTCCTGGCAGGGCCTCTGCTCAGTACTTCGTCTTCCAGGATCCACTGTTTTTCCCCTCGATGCTTCCCCTCACCCCCGCCAGAGAACTCGTTCTGCACCCAGTGATCATGAGGTTGGCTGGGCTTCATTGTGTTCCTTCTTGCCCTAGAATTCCCATGATTCCTTGCCATCAGCATTAAATTCCCCTACTCCTGCTATCTCACTTCACCATCTCCCTTTGATATTTTTCCTTCATTTATGCACTGATGGGCTGGTAATAAATGCTGTACCAGGTACAAGGTCAACTGCAATGTTCTAAATCTTTTGACACGGGCTTTTCAGAAAGCCTTTTTTGTTGGGTTTTGTTTTGAAAGTGTGAACAAGTCTCTGAAGATGAAGACACACACAGCAGGCCAATCATGTGCCATATCTCGTTCCAGCTACAGTACTGCCATGAAACTGTGTTTTAATTGAACTTTGCCTGTGTTCTCTTCTAGAGCAGTGACTCTGAGATGCATGTTTTGTATAATACTGAAAAATATGTTTTATTTTCCTTAAAGTTGTAATATTGTGTTGGAAATTGTACATATTTTAAATGATGTAGCTTGGACAGGTTTATTTTATTGATATGATTTTATATTAAAAGAGAATGCTGCTTTCCATATATCCTAGTCTGTGAAAAGGAACTGTTCGGATTGTTAGTTTATATGCAAGGTGACCCTATGGTTTTGGATGGGAGTGGATGTGCTGTCTTACTCTAAAATTCTTCCCCTGAAAAAATCCCCTTTGACGCAAAGGTCCCCAGGGCACTGTCCCTTCCATCCTGGCTGCAGTCATCCAGGCCCCGAAGGAGCAGGATCTTGGGCGGGCGAGTGCATGAGGAGACAGCCAGCCCCAAGCCTGTGGCCATGCAGAGGGAGCCTCCCACAGCGCTGCTGGGGGAAGAACGGAAGGCCGAAGCGAAGCAAGGCAGTGGGGAAGACGCGCTCCTCACACTGTTTTTACTGTGAATCCAGAGCTTCATCTAGTAGTGGAAATCGGGGGTGGAAGTTTAAACACCTCCAACGAAGCTTTGCTTTACTGCTCTAAAAAATGGGAGTTTCTAGGCTTCTGCAACCACACAGTCGAGAGAATTTTTCGAGGGCTTTCTGCATCTGATTTTCCATACATAAGCTTTCCTTAAATCCTAGCTGCAGTTCTGAGAGCTTTGAGGGAAGCTGAAACCCTTTTTCTGATGAAGTCTAAATCTGTGCGAACCAAGGGAGCTGCTGAAGTCGCCCTTGGTTTTCTGCATCCTGTCAGGCGCCACTTTCCATGTAGCTGGCAGATCGTCCCTTGGCTCTTGCGCTGTTCTCATCTGAGTCCCCGTGGAGGCAGCTCCGTGGCCTGACTCCTCTCCAGTTGAACAAGCACTCGCTTGTGTTTCACCCAGATCTCTCTCTCTCTCTCTCTCTCTCTCTCTCTCTCTCACACACACACACACACACACACACCCCTGGAGCCAGTGAGTCATCCTGGCAGCTGACAGAGTGTGACTTTGGCACAGCCCTGTTCCCTGTCACCCAGCTCCCCAGGCCCAGTGGCTGAGCGTCGCATCTGGAATACCTCTGTCCCGCTGTGCTGGCCTGGTGTGGACTGCTGGAGTGGCCACTGCAGGGCCCGTGAAGTTCCTCAACTATATGTCAGTGGAGGGAACACGCAGCTGACTGTGCACCCTGCTCTACCCACTCACAGAACGGCGCCCAGCAATTAGCTTCTGCCTGAACTAGTTGCTGCTGAAATAACCCCCTGCTAGTGAGAACATTAAGTACGATTTATTTATTTCACAGGCAGGTTTTTTTTTTTTTTTTTTTTTTCTGAAGTAGCTTGCTTGTTTCCCTGTAGCTCACTGGAGGTGAGTCCCAGAAGCATCATTCTCACTTGCCTTCAGATACCCAGCAAGTCTTTACTCCAGCTGTGTCTTCCTTGTCCTGCCATTTCTGGCTTCTCCAAGCTAGGCCAGGGCTTCTTGTGACTGCTGCTGAGGGCACTGTACGTAGGACCTTGTACCAGTTCAGTCTGGTATTAGATGAGAAGGGATAGTCAGTGTCCTGGCCAAGACCATGGTGACCTTGCACCTGCCCTCCCTAGGCCTCTGTGCACCTTTCTCTTTCTTCATGGTGTTGCAGTCACTGTGATGGTGACATTTACTGGGACATCAGCAGATTCTGGTGCAGGATCTGAACTTGGAGTGGTGGTTGGTGTTTCGATGTCTGTGAAGAGCATAGGTGGAAAAAGAAAAGAGATGCCTTAGGGTGTCCCAGATTGTTCTGAGAGGTAAGATGACTCAAGCATCATGCGCAGGACTCGGCACAGGCTCCTAGTAGTAAATCATCTTTGGGGTAAAATCCTGCTTACTTGCCAGTGCCTCGGGGATTTCTCTTGAGCCCCTCTGTTGGTGCCTTCGCTCCCTGAGAGTAAGGTGGGAGAGTAAGGTTAGTGGAAGCTGAACTTCCACAAGCTTCCTTTTCTCATTAAAGTACTGAACCCCAAGATGCCCAAGATTCCACACTCACATGGGAATGAGCCACTGGCCAAGGCCTGTAGGAAGGAAATAAGCATTACTGCACTGACCAACACGAATCCCAGGGAATGACCCTCCCTTCCTGTTGGTCTCTTGCCGATAGAGCTCAGGAACCCTTACAAAGATGGCCCCAGATGCCCTGAAAAAAGACACGTAGCTCTGGAAAGAGGGTCACACCTCAAAAGACCCTGGATTCTCCTTAGGTAAGTCTAGATCTGGCCACCTTAGGATGTCACACAACCCCACCCTTCAAATCTCCACTCACGGGGGAAATTCTGTGGGTGCCGGGCAGCGTACTGGAACACCAGGAGAGAGGCCACGGTTGCCACCACCATTCCCGTGCCAGCTGCACCCAGCACTGCTGGGTAGGCGCTGAAGGGGGGGTCCACTAGGAGGCAAGAGCACAGGGTTCACGGCTTAGAGCCACAATTGATCCTGGCCTCCAAGGGCTTCCTGAGGAAATGCTGCCCTGGTTGTCCAGTCCCCCTCAGCTGCCGGGTAGTGGGGGGATCTGGACATGAGATCTCCCAAGGAAGGTGGGCTGGCTGCCTGACGCTCCCACCCACTCAGCCGAGTCCCCTGATTCTGTTACCAAATGCAAAAATCTACTTATTTTGGCAGCTTGGTGCTGAAAGGAAGTAGGCATGAAAGAAAGAACTTCAGGACGGGGAGGAAGCTCCGGGAAGCCTAGAGCCCGCTGTACCCTAGGAGGCGAGACCGAGGCACAGAGTGGGGCTCTACTTAAGCATCACCAGCACCCTCTTCTTCCCCTGTTCCAGTTCAAGCTGAATCTGGGTTCTACCCCAGGTCACACCTCCTGAGCCCCCAGGAAAGGGTGGAAAAGAGCAGTAGAGACTAGCTAGTGCCCCTGAAGAGAGGGCAGAGGAGAGGACAGAGGCAGGGCTGAGGGAATCCACCAGGAAGGAAGCAAAGGAATGGAGTGAGGGTGCCCCGGGAAGAGGACAGGCAGGAATCCAGTCCTCTGGGGAAAATGGGATTGTCTCCCTGGCATTAAGCCCAGCACCTGGTGTCTTCACCTCGGAAGGGTGTCCAATAGTGTGGTGATTCAGGGCCAGGATTCGGAAGGCATAGAGGACCCCTGGGTCCAAGCCTCCCAGCTGCTGGCCCCTGCTCTCTGGTGCAATGTTACTAGCTGCAGTCTCCCAAGCCCCAGCTCCGGGGCCAGGGACACTGGCCCTCTGCTGCACCAGAAAACCAGTAAGGTTGCCAGGACCCTGGATGGCCCACTGCAGCTGCACCTCTCTCCGGTTCCGCCGGTAGGTCAGGTGGCTGATGGTGACGTTGGGAGGAGCAGGATACCCTGAAGAGGAGAGAGGGTGGGAGATACACATAAGGCACCTCGGATGTAGGACTGTGGACATCCCCATTTGCTCCTATGGAGAGGCAGCCTGCAGTGTGGAAAAGCCACAGTGTCCTCATCCGTCAAATGAGGACAAAGATGACTCTGTCTGCATGGAGTTCTGTGCGTGGAGTTCTCACTGCGTGCTGTTCTCCATGGAGTCCTGTCTTCCAGATTTCCTCCACCTACATGAAATTGTGTGCAGGAGGGTCTGGCTAGGCTCAAGGATGCTCCCGGGTACACATTTGGAGCAGGGAGTTCCTAGGCCTATCTGCAAGGCCTTCTATGGCTGTTGGCCTTCCACCACCACTGCCCCCGCCGCCACCCAAACTCACCACCCGTCACTCACTGAGGACCTCCAGCAGCACATGCTGGCTGCTGTTGCCCACGGCGTTGTGAGCCACACATTGGTAGGTGCCTCTGTGGCGCGATGGGTCAGCACCTTGTATCTGGAGGCGCAGCTGGGCACCTTGAGGGTGCAGCACAAACTCAGAAGTGCTCCCTTCCACCGGCAGCCCCTGGGGTCCCAGCCAGAGGAGCCGGGCCGGTGGCTTTCCACCCTGGAGAGCACAGTGCAGCCAGGCCTCTCCTCCCTCCAGCACTGAGACCTGGGGCTCAGCCACGGTCAGCTGCGGGGCTTCTGGGGAAACAGGAAAGTTGGGGCTGGAACAAGTGACCTCTCCACCTCCCACGGAAAGCCTTGAGAGAAAGATGTTAGGCAGTCATGGAAGGGAGGGAGAGCAGAAAAGAGACAGGGAGCTGGGAAGCTTGTTCTGGGTCACCCTGCCCTCAGGTTCAGACTCTAGTCCACTCCAAGTTGGGTCTCAATCTGCTCCACAGTTTGCTGCTGACAGCAATGATTTTTTATGTCTCTCCCCTCCCCCACCCAACCCCTGCTCTGGGCAGGAGTCCTGCCTGTGCCTCTCTGCAAGCCCCCTCCCCCACTTCCTGCAGCACCTGGCATGAGCCCCTTTCCCCTGGTGGCCCAGTACCTCCTGGCTGGCTTCAGGCATAGTGCCAGACCATAGCAGGTGCTTAGTTTTTATGGACTGACCCTTATTAAAGACCCAGACTCTCAGGTGTCAATGAATTTCCTATGATGGAATTTCCGGTCTTGAGACTGAGTAATAGGGAAAGAAATATTCTGGGTTAAGGACCTCTTTAGAGCCCCTCACAATGTGCTAGTCACAAAGCCTTTGGAGACTAAGAGGTAAATCATTTTGCAAGAATTGTTATATGTGACAATTCTTCTGTTTTCTTTACATTTAAAAAAAATTAGTATTTAATTATTTTGTCTTCAGTTGTTGAGTAGCAGACCAGTTGAAGACAGAAAGAGGAATCAGACCCTAAGCAAATAAAGGGGATGAGAGGTGTAGAGATAGACCTTTGACTCCTAAAACATTAATGCAAGTCAAGAATATAATCTGGGACCTTCCTTATGCAAATATAAGCAAATGAGGGTGCTGATGGCATTTCCACCTGTGTGGATTGCTGCTGTCCAATGCTATCACCACCAGCCACTGGTGACCAGTGAGCTCTTGTGGTGTGGCAAGCCCCACTGAGAGGTACAAAAGTTGTAAAGACACTGAATTTTCAAGACAGGATAAAGAAATATAAAGTCGCTCATGAATAGGTTTTATTATTATTACATATTGAAATAGTACTACACTGAATATCTTGAATGAAGTGTGAAATATTTCATGTGTTTCTTCTTACTTTTTAAAATGTGTCTGCTAGAAGGAATTTAGGTTACACATAGAGCTTGCATTATAGTTCTGTCATACAACACTGACCTGGATAAACCTCTTTCATTTGTGGATTAGAAAACCTGAGACCTTTGAAGACAAGTGAATCAGTCTCTCTCCTAACTCTCTCAGCCTGGGCCCTCAGCCTGGGCCCATGGGTGACCCTCGCCCAGGACCCAGGGGCTGGCCCTGCTCACCCAGCTGGAGCCGGCACTGGGCATTAGGGATCCTCAGGGGGTGAGAGCCCAGGCAGGTGAACTCTCTGCCAGCCAGATCTCCCCTGGCCTGCAACATGTGGGTGGCCGGGGAGGAGCTGCTGCCACCCAGGGGCTGCCCCTGATCATCCAACCAGCTCAGCGTGGCAGGGGGCATGCCTCTGGGCCACTCACAGCTCAGTCCGATGAACTGGTCGTCCACTGTGGCTGTGATCCGGCAGGTGGGGCTCTGGGGAGGCTCCCCTGGAAGGGATTGATGGCCCAGATCAGCCAGCTTGTCCCTCCGTCCTGCACTCATTTATTCCCTGTTTCTCTGTCACTCTTCCACGCACTCATGAGTCCTTTATCAAGGGCAGACCATGTGACAGGGCGACGGTGGGAACCGGCACTGAGAAAACTATGATATAATTAGATGAGGGCTACAGGGTGTGTAGAAAGACAGAAGAGGGCTCTAAGGCTTCAGAGAGGAGGGCTCTGGAGACAAAACAACGTTCTGTCTTGGTCACACGGGCCTTCCCAGGTGGAGGGAGGCAGAAGCACACACTTGGTGGGCAGAATGTGAAGGCGCATTTGCAGACCAGAGTGCGAGGAAGCCGGGCCCTGTGACCGTGGAGGTGGCAGACAGGAAAGAGGTCTCGCCGGCTCCAAGCCCCAAGTGAGACGGACAGAGCTCAGCGAGATGGAGAGCAGCCGAGGGCTGAGAGCTGCCTGCTTCTTGTCGGGAGCCGTCATGGAGCTCCTCTGGGTGCTCCAATCCTCCCACCCTCTGCCTGGTGTTGCTTGTGCCCACTTACAGAGTGTGGCCCTGCAGAGGCCGGGTAGTGCCAGGGCAGGGTGCTGGCCGGTACAGGTGAAGACGCTGCCATTGGGGAGCCTGGTGGCTGCGTGAGTCCAGGCGGCATTGCTGGGTGCAGTCGGGCCTGTCCCGTGGGGCCCCTCCCACTGCAGCTGGGCAGTGGGAAGTCCCCCCGGCCAGGTGCAGAGCAGGGTCACAGCTGCAGGGGTGGGCAGCACAGTACAGGAGGGCTGCCCTGCAGGGGGATCTGGGAGGGAGGCGGGCAAGGAGGAGTTGGAGCAGGCTCTACAGCTGGTGCTCTGCAGCCCAGCCCAGGTGGGGCCCTGGAGCCCAGGCAGAGTAGGGAAGCAGGGGAAGTGGGCAAGAGGGGAAAGATTTAAGTCACTCTGAGAGACTGGCAAGGAAAAGGCTGAGGCCTCAGGTTAAGGGAGAGGGCTAAAGGGTAAGCAGGAGTTCCTGTGGAAGTTACCCTGGGCACCCGGGCACCTACTGTTGCCCTGCCCTTCTCTGTGCCTCAGTTCGGGTCCTAGGACCATGGGAATAACCAACCACTTTGAGAGAGGGGGGTATGTAAGGTCAGGGGGTCCTACTCCCTTTCCCCTGGCCCTGCAGCTCTGATTCTTCAGATGAGCCCCTCCCCTCCCCTGCTGCCAGCTTCTTCAGCACTGTCACCAGGGCAGGAGGGGCATCAGCACACGGGGCTCCGCAGGCTCCCACCCACACACTCACAGTAGATGGTGAGCTGGACGGAAGTCCGGGTGCGCGTGTCCAGGTAGCTGTTGCGGGCCAGGCAGGTGTACAGGCCTGTGTGGGCACGGCGGGCGCTGGCGATGACGTAGGTGGGGCCAGTGTGGACTTGAGTATCATCCCAGAGCCACACATAGTGACTAGGAGGGTTGGAGGCAGCCAGGCAGCTCAGCGTCACCTCCTCCTTCTCACTGGCCCAAAACCCCTCTGCAGTGAGTCCGAGGGGCTCCACAGTGATCACAGGCTTGTCCGGGCCATCTGGAGGGACAGGGAGGCCCATCACACTGCCGCAGCTTTCTGTCCCTCACTCACTCACAGGAGCATGGCTGGGTTTGTTCCTCCCTCCCACGAGCATGTGAGACCCTCCGTCTCCATGCCAGCCCTCGTTTCTCAGCATCAGGAGGTCAGGACTGTGGAAGTGGGCACTGCGTGGCCAGACTCAGGAGTGAGCTCTGCCTCTGGAGGCTTGGGCTGAGGTAGGGGGTGAACAAAAGCTCAGGAGGGAGACGAGAGGAAGGGTGACTGGCCCGATGCATTGCTGGGGGCTGGGAGGATGGTCTCTCTAGGAGCAGAGACAAGCGCAGCCCTGCAGCTAGCCTCTCACTGCCCAGGACACACACCTCTCTTCTCCTCTGCCTTGCAACCTCACCTCTGGACGTCACCCTGATTCTCATGGGGGCCTGCGCTTTCTGTCTGCTTCCATTCTGCTCCTATCTCCTGCCCGGGATGCCCTGCTCACCCGGGTCCTCCACTGTCCTCAGTTTACATTTTCCACCAACCAAGCAGGGCACCAACACCCTTGTTCCTTAAAACCGGGGCTGCCCCATACAGGCTTGCGAGCCACAGGTGTTCTTTTAAAGTTTCTAGTGATCAAGTCTAAGCAAAAATAATGAGGTCCAACCAAACAATAACAAAAACATTAATAGGTTTTAAGTTTAATTATCTATTCCATCGAAAATTTTCCAGAATATTACTTTTATATAACTAGTCTAAGTGTTATGGATGTGCATTTTTATCTTTTCTTTCAGACTGTGTGTCTTAGGTTGTGCACTTTGCCTTTGCACCGCAGCTCAGTGTGGATTACCTGAATCTGAGAGCGCAGCGTCTCACTGGCTACATGGCAGACACTGAGCTCTGCAATCTAGACCAATCCTGGCACAGCTGCCGCATGTGAGCCGGGTCAACCTGGCATCGCCCCAGAAGCTGGGTATCAGATAACAGCGCACAGAGGGGCAGTGATGGCGCTTGGCGAGTAATAAGTGGGTTTTGGGTTGCAATTTGGATACTTGGATGTCTGAAGTGTTCGCCATCTCTGGCCTGGATCATCCACATCCTTGCCTTTCCCAGGAGGCTTCTGGTCACCGAGGAGCCTCACTCAGCCTTTGGACAGGCTTGCTGCCCTGTCTGTCGACTGCGGCTCCCCTCCCTGTCTTTCCACATCTCTGTCAATCTCTGAGAGCTCTATGCGCACAGCACAAAGCCTGGCTTTCCACCCCTCCCCAAACCATGAGTAGAATTGTGAGGATGAGTGTGTGTACCTTTTCCTGGGGAGAGGGGCTCATGACCTGAAATTGGGTGGAAACCCTGCTACTTTTGCCTATTGGAGCGTCAGGGCGGACAGGGGCACTCCTGCAGCGAAGGGATGTAGGGCATGCTGGGGTATGACAGGGGAAGCAAGGATGGGAGAGGGGTGCCCACACTCCCAACCCAACTCACAGACCACGTCCAGGAAGACACCATCACTGCTCAGACCGTTGACAGCGTTGTAGGCGCTGCACACATACCAGCCAAGGTGCGTCCGGTTGACTGGGTCCAGCCGGAGCAGTGGCTCCTTGACTCCCACCAGGACCTCCCCAGGGCCTTGGGGCGCCTGGTGCTGCCAAGCCAAGGTCACAGGCTCTGTGCCCTCCCGCACTGCGCATGTGACCACCACCGAGGCTCCTTCCACGGGTGACGGATCACTCAGCCGCACCTGAGGCTTGGATACAGGCACTGGCCAGGGAAGGAGGGACCCTGGGTTTGCTATTGCAGATGCTGGCCGTGCCTGGATATCCCCAGTGACCCCACGCTTGCTGGCTATGGCTCTTCTATCCACTGGGTTCTAAGCATCCCTTCCCCACAAACCCAGGTTTCCTCCCTCCCTGGAGTGTGCCCCCCTCCACTTGAAGTCCAACATGTTCAGAGAGATGAGAGGCACATGCAAAGAGATGCCAACAGCATGCAGATCAGCCAGCGTCCAGGCACACCCTTACTGAGGTGCCTTACCAAGCACGGCCAGCGTGAGGTAGGAATAGGTGGTGTGGAGCTGGTCACCAGACACATGCAGGGCCTGGCACAAGAAGTGGCCACGGGCCCCCTCCCGGAGCTCCCTCAGCAGCAGGCTGCTATTCCGTAGACTTGCGATGCCCAGAGCTGAGGCACTGGGCTCTACCTTGGACGAAGCTCCATCGGTCACGGCCACAGGCCGAGGAACCACGGAACCCAGTGGGGTGAAGCTCCAGAGGACTACCAACGGTGCAGGCCCAGAGCCACAGGCCAGCTCCACAGAGCCACCCCTAACTCCTTGTAGGGACATGGCCTCCTCCGTGGGGGATCTGGGGGTTGGGTGCGGCTTGCCTGTAGAGAGAAAGAGCGATGCAGAAAGTCCAGAGAGCTCAGGTCCTCCTGCACCCACCTTACTCAGAACCTCCACTGGTTGTTCTACAGTCCCAGGGGGCCAGGCAGGGTTCAGCACGACAGTACCAGCACTTTTGGAGCTGGCGGGCATGGAATAGTCCCAGGGGGAGCCCGTGGGCCACCCTGTTTAGATGTACAGGAGAGGTTGATGGAGAACAAAGAATGGGCTGGAGCAGAGGTCTCCATTCCTCATGGGTCAACACAACATCTAATCAAAATACAAATTCATAGACCTCACTCCGGGCTACTGTGTCGAGAATCCCCAGGATGCAGAGGGGTCAGAGCCCAGGAATCTGCATTTTAACGAGCACCCAAGACCCATCTGGTGACTGACGAACCTGATGACATGTTAACTCTGGAGATTCAGGCAAGCTGTACAGCCACCGGCCAGCCGGGGCCTGGACATTTCTGTGTAAGGATGCCAGGAGGGCTCCAAGGCCAGCCCAGAGGGGTCTGAAGTCACTGACCTGACTACAGTTCGTTTCTGACTTGCCTTTCTCTCCTTCTGTGTTCTCCTGCGTCATTCTCTCCTGTAACTACCTTGGGTTCCAGGAACAAAGCACGTGATAGGTGAGATCTTATGACAGGACCCAAACCAGCCTCTCCTACAGCCTCAGTGACCTTCTTGGGGCCAGCAAAGGTCTGTATTGCTGCTCCTGAGATGATTATCAATCAGATCACAGCCACACTGAGACAACTTGCACCGCTAGCCAAGGAAGCCCCCAACCCTTACCTCTGTTCCTTGTTCCTATGCAACTCTGAGACTGCTGTATGCCCACTAAGGTCAGCTTTTAAGTCACTAAGCCTCTGTTCTCCCCATTGCAGTCCTACTGAGAATAAAGCTGCTTTCCTATTTTTACCACCTTATCTTATTTCTTAGATTGACTTTACCGGATGGGTGGCTGAGCCTAGTCTCTGAGTTGTGAACTCACAGAGCCAGGGTTTTTGCCTTAACTCTAGTAAGAGGACCTCATCTTATTCCACTCCCATTAGAGCCAGAACAAAGGGGGCAGCAGCCTGCATTGGCTAATTTGCGACTAGAAGAGCCAGGGTCACAAGGACCATTAGCTCTCACCTCTAGTCTCATAGAGCTCTCTGTCAACCACAGGCCAGACATTAGCAATCAACCTGGGTAAGTCACTTAACATGTGCTCTCTGCTCAGGGTCTCACCCTCTGTCTTAGCTGTGGGTCTGCATCCTGTAAGGTACAGAGTTCCTCCACAGGTTGGCCTTCAAATAAGTGCCTAGGAGGACAACCAAACTACAGGAGTAACTCATTCGAGCTCCATGACCGCCTGCCTCTTTCCTACCAGACCCTGGACTGGCACCTTCACATGTGTGACCTGTTGGCTTTAATTATAACAACTCTTGAGAGGTAGCAAGTAACTTTCCTCAGGAACGAGGAGCTGAGACTCAGTGGCCCAAGAACACAGAGTGGGGGGTGGAACTGGGATTGGAACCCTAGCTAAGCCTCAGTCACAGATCTTCCTCTTGCTATCTATCTGCTTCTCCAGAAAAAGAAGGAAGAGGAGGAGGAGGAGGAGGAGGAGGAGGAGGAG